AAATGAATACTAATGTTGCTCACTAAGATGACTAGATGTTTACCTAAATAAGCTGGTTTGCTAATAAACGTACCAATCAACTCAAAACTCAGTATGTCAGTGTTTTGTTTTCTGCTGCCCCCAAGTGCCAAAAGGTCACTAGTGGCGTTTTAAAAGGTTCAAAAGCTACTTTAACTTAACGTGTTTTTGCTGTAGCCTACATGACCCACTACCATTAAGACGGGTAATGTTACAGTTAAGCTAGCATTAATATACCAAGGTTCTCTCAAATATAAACAAACCCAACACTGGTCATTTGACAACACTTATCTCTATAATAACAATATATCCACGTTTCACCAAAGACTTTTGTACAGCTGAAACAAAAATAGAGTATCTATTCTAATAATGACAAACACTTTTAACGTCTTCAAATTGAGACCTTTTCAGACAAAAATAGTTGAGTCATTGTTTTGTACAGTACAAACCAGAACAAGAGTACACACATCTTATTTCATAAAAATATGAACATCTATTCTATGACTGTGATAACAGCGCGTTTTATTTTGTGTAGGAAACACCGTGAGGAAAAACTACAGCACCCACAATGCTTTGTTGTCCCGGACCTCGGACCCCGGGATATGATCACTTCGTCATGTGACCGTAACAAGTAAACATGGCGGATGTAGAAGCTACGAGATCTTTGAGCGGTCTGTTGAATGGAATCGCTCAAAAAGTCTATTATAACAACAGTGAGATCACAGAGGAGCTGCTGAAAAATGAATTATTTCCCGAGATGTCTCAGGAGGAGTTCAAGGCTTTGCATGAGAAAATGAAGGGCCTCTTAAAGGTAGTTAAAGGCTTCATCCTCGTAGTCACGTTTAGCAGAAGTAACGTTAGCCTGTTAGCTAAGCTGCATCTTTTCTCTGTCCGTTGTGTCACTGATGTGTACAACAGACGCTACTAGTAATCGAGTTTAATCAACAGTTTGTAAAAGAGTTTTAAGAGTAGAAGGAATTCTCTACGTGTTTCCGGCTAAATAGCAGCTAATAACACAAGTATGTAAATCCTGATTGAACTGCCCTAAATGTTCCTGCTCGTCTCACTTGTTGTCAGCAGGAGGCAGCAGGAACATGCATATGATCACTGTTGCTCTGCTGCTGGTCGTGTTTTACATGCACAGAGTCGTGCACTAATGTCAAACTCAGATCCACTTTTCTCTGCCCCATCACCACTGGTTGCTCTACTGTGTTGTCTGTTGTTCTACATGGCTCTTCCTAAAACACACTAAAATGCCGCCGTGCTTGAGACAAATTGCTCCTGTGCACAACATAGTTGGCAAAGAAAGCTGACTCACTCTTTTATTCTTTCTTCAGTTGCCTTCTTGAAAGATTCTTCAATATTTGGACACCATGTCTAGTTTTGTATTTGTGCTACTATGACTTGAACTGCAGCTTTGTGTTGCACCTCAGCTGTACAACTGAACAACATTGTTGACCAACTCTTGAACAGGTTGGTTAAGTTTCATTCTGTCCACTGACCCAGTACTGTTTCCAAACATCTTATAGGTTTGACTATAAAATGACAGGGAGCTTACAGTTTGTTTTATTTCAAAATAAAAACTACAATTAGAAATGAGTCTGGCAAACTGTAGTCACATAACTGTTTTAATTCAATGGTGTTCATTTTAAAAGAGAATAAACAGTAAAAGCCATTTCATTTATTTTTCTTACTGATTTTCTTCACTGTGAAAATGTAATTATAGGGTTAAATCAATTTACATTTCTATATTTTAATATGCTTTTTGCCTGTTTCTGGCACATTTTAATTTGTGCATCATTTCCTCTATCAAAAAGTTTTGTTGTGTTTTTCAAACATGGGAACATTTTGTATGTTTCCTTGACAGGTACACGCCAAGTTACGAAGGGTGAGTGAACGTCAGTGTTATAACCTTTTACAAACCTCTAGATACCATGTTCTTTAGAGCAGAGAGAAGTGGAAGACAGAAAGGCCAGGAAGTGAGTATCAGCTGTAGTCTTCAGTCCATTAATGATACCGGTGGTGGAAAGTAACTAAGTACATTTATTTAAGTACTGTACTTCAGTAGTTTTTACCTTTCTGACTTAACATTTCAGAGAAAATATTTTACTTTGTAGTCACTGCATTTAGTTACTGTTACTTTTCAGAATGAGATCAATCAAACAAAATACAGTATAATCATAAGACTGATTGATCCTTGGTGTAAAGTCCACCAGCTACCCATCAGTATGTAAAGTACTTCAAATTATATGTATAAGGTCGTTAACATCAGCTCCACCTTTACCAGCTGCAGCATTAAAGGTGATGTTCACAATAATGCATCAGTCTCTATAACCCTTTAATATAATACACATTAACGTGAACTGTGCCATTCTGTATCATGAATACTTTTATTTTGGTACTTGAAGTATATTTTTATATTTTATGCTAATACCTTTGTACTTTTACTTAAGTATCATTTTGAATGCAGGACATTTACTTGTAGCAGAGGATTTTTACACGTATTACTGTTGTTACTTAAGTAAATAACGAGTACTTCTTCCACCACTGAATGACACAACAGTGTTTAAATTAAAATGTCAATGAAAATTACATGAGTTCAGGTAGAATAGTTTTCATTGAAAAATCCCTAAACTAAAGTGTTAAAGTTAATAACGAGAGATATTTTAAATATATTTTCCATAACCCGGTACACCACGTTTACATCTCGTGCACGTGTTTGCTTTGCCAGATACACCCCCATGTTCAGTCTGGCTGCAAGCGTCCCGTACAACAGTGAAAGCGAGAAGTATGACGTCAGTCGGATCCGTGACGACAGCGCCACGGTGAGGAACGAGATTCAGAACTGTGACGTGTACACAGGCACCAACGTGGTGGCGGCCATAGTCCTGAGGTGGCCCGATGTTCAGGAACGGTGTCCCAACGGAAATGTACCTTGGGGTTTTGTTCTGAGAGATTCTGGTAAAACGTCTATGAAATGGTCTGAGGTTCCGATGGATGTGATTAAAGAAGGTAGAGCTGATCATGCAGAGTACCGTGTTGTAAACAACCTGTTCACACGTCCTAATGACAATGATCTGTTGCTGTTCTATGTTCGTGCCTCCCCATGTGTTGAAAAGTGCACAAACGAAGGACATGTTCACAACATCCTCGAAAAGATCAGGGAGATTAAGCAATGGAAGAATTATGCTTTTGTGTTTTCTAAAATATTCAAACCCAGTAACCATCCACCCAATTCTGAGGCAGAGCTTAGGGACGCCCTTGAGAGACTCGGGGAGTCAATCGGTCTTGAAAATATATTCCGTTGTGACAGAGGAAACAATGGGATGCGGTGCACCAGCTGCTCTGATAATGGTCAAGTTGCACAATATTGTGTTTCAGATGATGCAAATGGCCAGTTGAGGGGGAGGAAAGAATCGAGGACTGGGGAGGAGGAAAGGTGGGAAAGGGAGAGGAAAGGATCGAGGACTGGGGGGGAGGAAAGGCGGGAAAGGGAGAGGAAAGGATCGAGGACTGGGGGGGAGGAAAGGCGGGAAAGGGAGAGGAAAGGATCGAGGACTGGGGGGGAGGAAAGGTGGGAAAGGGAGAGGAAAGGATCGAGGACTGGG